TTCTAAGATAAATACGACATCAGAAATTTGTACAGATGCCTCGGATTATTCAATAGGTGCCGTATTAATGGAAGAATGTCACACAATAGCATATTACAGTAGGGCAATGAGTCAAACAGAATGTAAATATTCAGTGGCAGAGAGAGAAGCATTAGCGTGTGTATGTGCAGTTAAAATTTTCAGTCTGGTTTGGAAAAAACATGTAAAAGTATTTGCAGACTACCAGGCTTTAACAAAGCTAGAAAATGAAAGAAGTTTAACACATAGATGATGCGATTGACATCAAAATTGCAAGAGTACAATCTCAAATTTAAGCATAGGCTAAGAAAATAAAATAAATTCGCCGACACAATATATAAAATTATAATTGATTAAAGCAGGAACAGAATAAATTGTAACATCTGTGGTCTTATATTTGAGGGAAACATTAGTTACAGAAATGCAAAGTGACCTAGAACTCAGACAAATCTACGCATACATGAGAAATCCTAAAAACGTTCATTCAGTAAATCAAAATGGAATTAAGAGTAGAGCTAAATATTACGAGATTAGTGACAATATTTTGTTTTACAAGAAAACTGAAAACGAGAACTTGGAGTTAAGACCAATTATTTCGGCTGTTTCGACTTTGCTATTGTGAGAATTTTATAATAACTCAGTTTCAGCTCATATAATATTGCGAAAGACTAGTCAAAGAATTAAAAAACTATGTTTTTTCTGGAATTAAAACAGCATATTAAGAGAGAATGCGTCTAAAGTTGAGTTACATATCAGAAATGTAAATGGGATAAATTTTATGTCAGCTTGCCATTTAAACAGTGTAAATCAACTTTTATAAATCAAATTCTCGGAATAGACTTATTAGTTCCGTACCCCAGTAGCGAAACCAAAAATGCTCGTTATCTATTAGTCATTGTTGATAACTTTAGTGAACTGTGTGGATTGATCCTTTTAAAGTGTACATCAGCTAGTATAATAGTTAGTTCCCTTTTAAACAAGTGTATTTTAAAATATGGAATCATATATGATAATGGACCGAAGTTTGTAAGTAATGTTTTTGAGAAAATTGGAACGGAACTAGAAATTAAGCATTTAAAAATAACTCCTTAGAGACCTTAGCCAAATATTGCTCATCTGATAAATAAAAATGTCGTACAGATAATCGTTGTAACATGAAGAAGCATCATAAAAACTGGGATCTCCTCTTCAAAGAACTAGCGTACGCATTAAGAAAGGACAAATATGAGACAACAAACAAAACCCATGCTGAGTTATTTTTATTGGGAAAAATCATCACACCCTTAGGCAAGCTATTTTTCATAGAAGAAAGGAAGCCAGAATTCCAACAAAAGAATATTAAAAAATTAATCGATGAAGCAGATAAAATGTCAGATAAAGCCAGGTTAAAACAAAAGCTACACTACGATAGAAAAAGGAGGCAGGTGGACATTAAAACTGGTGATAAAGTCTTAAAGATGAATCACACGTTGTCATTTGCACAGATAGCAAAACTAGGTAAATTTAGTCCAAAATCTGAAGAAACCTTTATTATTGTAAATATAAAACAGAATGTAGTAATTATGCAAAATTACAGGTGGCACACAAGCTCCACAAACGTAGATCAGCTAGAAATTTCTATGATAGAGAAAAATTACCATTTGTAAAGTACTTGGGTCAGCTGGAAGTACAGCCTACGTCGCCAAGGATACCATATAACAGAAGGGCTCAAGAAAAAAGACGTGGAATAGATGAGTCAAAAAAGACATTAAATCGAACAGGAAGTGTACAAAGAAAAATAAAGGAAACTGGTCAAGAAGATGAGATGGAAACAGAAATGCGAAAAAAGGGTCGACTAGACAAGTCAGGTAGAAAGTTTAGGAAAAGGAAGCCAACAACTTGGTGCAGAAAGTGAAGTGGTTAAGAAGGGCGTACGAAACATTGCGACGTAGATGGAAATAGTAGGGCACCGACACCGATGTCCCCCCCCCAAAAAAAAAAAACCAGCAGAAACAGCACAATAGTTAAAAGAAACAGACCGAAAAGTATGCCTGAAAATAAAACATTCAGACCAATTTGTTGTGCAGAAAAATGATCCAACGTGACTGGGAAAGATAAAACTTTACCACGGCAAAAGGCCAGTCCAAAGTCTGAAAAGATAGGCAAAGTATCAAGACCGAGGAGTAGAAAGGACACCGAGACAGAGAATAAATACGAGCACGAATAGTATTTTGAAATAAATTGAAGTTAAGGCGAATAATGTGATGGATTAATGTTTTAATTTCGCTAAAGCTTTTGTGTCAAAATTCTATGAAAACACTTTACCATGTTTAAAAACTGCATTCTGTGTTTAAAGCATATAGTGTATATATATATATATATATATATATGAGAACTGAACTGAGGAATCTTAATTGAAAATGAGATAAATTGTAGAATAATAGAAGAAATTATAGATAATAAGAAAGACTTGAAAAGTAAATAAATTGGCCCAATATATAAATATATAAATGTTTTAAGATTTTTTTCAGATTGAACTGGAAGGAGTTCAGTCAAAAAAAAACTTTTAAAGAAAATTTAAAAATTTTAAAAATAAAGTATTTGTTGTAAAGAATGTGCAGAACCTTTAAACTTTTCATAAAGTTCGTTTAAGAATTACATATTCGAAGTTTGTTTCCTGGAAATGGCAAGTGTGGCAATTTAATTTATTCAACTAACAGGCTAATTTTAATTTGTATCTTTAACTGCCTTTTCATACTTTAGTCGCAGCTCTTTCTTTTCGGAACTTATGTAGATCTTTATGTGGCAAGCGTAGATGTGCAAAGTGAGTTTAACCGAAACCGTAGAAGCGTCTGAGTGTCTGAACGAGAGAGCGAACTAGAAATATGGAGCCGCGCTTGGACTGAATTAGTTGTTGAAGAATGTCTGATGGTAATCCTGGCACACTGTAGATGAGTCCATTGGAATGACTGGTTCAAATGTTAAACTGAAATTGAAGGCTAAAAGTCTTACTATCCGCTAGAGATTTGCGATTTCTCCTAGATTATATTGCTTTGTGAAGTTCAAGAGATTTAAATCTTATTTTGTAACCAATGACTAGAAAGGTAGCCTGCTCATTAGTGACTTTTGTTTTAAGTTAAGATCTCAAGTAGTGTAATATTAAAGCTAAATTAATTTTAGTGTATTCTTATCTGTATGAACGTTGACACTTCACTCAGTTTACGAAAACTCGTAGTACGGGATTTATTGGCAAGAGGTAGAGCTCACACATAACTGTAAGATGAAATGGTTTACATCCAAATTCTTCAAATATAATATACAAGTGTTATGCGCTTTTCAAGAACTTTTTAAAAGCACTTGAATTTAAAGCACTTCTTGCTTTAAATAGAATAAGTACTAGGGGAAGGTAGCCTAATTTGGACCGTAGCCTTATTTGGACCACTATGATATACAAAGACTGATGATATCTGCGAGATTTGAGATAGGCATTTGGTTATACGTAGATGTAGAAGAGGTTAATGCAATTGTGTTTGTAAAGAAACGCCTCGTGGTTACATTGAGAGAAGTGTTATTCGTTTGGCTAAGAAGAAAATCTGTTATTTCGACATAAGTGTGAAAGCAGTTAATTCGTCTAAACGTAAGTAATTACGTGTCTTATTCTACCATCACAAAACTTGCTTATTTATCTACAATTTACAATTATAATTTTGCGAGGTTATGTTAGTTTGACGTTTCTGTACAATATCAAGCGTTAAATATTCAAGTTTCCCAAGTTGGACCGAAAACAGTTGCCGAAATTGAACCGATCCAATTTCGGCAACGACATTCTTTTCATGGATAAATTATAATTAACCCTAGAATGCTACTCTTTGAAAAAATTACGGGAATGGCAACCATTTGTCTCCGAGACGAAGTATGGTAAGCGTGCTTAAAACCAATTTGCAGATGACCAATTAACAGACGACCAGTTTGCACCAGCTGATGTTTTGCAACCCTCTGAAACCCCTGTTTCACCTTCTAGTAGTGATGATGATGAAGATAGAAGTGATAACGAAAATAAACGATTTAGGACAGTTCTTGAAAAAATATCACCTCGATCAAAGAAAAATCAAAACCCAACTGGCCCTTCGCCTTCTCGCAGTGCACCTAATAGCCCATAAAGCAGTGGAAATAACAAGCAGCGCTTACAAATCGCGGTTATACCAAAACTTTAAAAAAAAATCAGTTCACCAAAGTTTAACAAAATGCAGAAACATAAAAAAAGAACCGGGTGATTCATGGTTTTGTATACTATGTGAAGAAACCAAGAAAGAAGAAATGATACAATGCATGAAATGTTACGCTTGGATATATACTCGGTGTACTGGAGTTAGTGCTGCAATTAAAAGGTTCTTTTGTTGTAATTGCCGTTAAGAAAGCTCATGGTCCAATTTAGGAAACTAGCGGTTCAAATAAGGAAACCGGTTTCCTAAATTGATCTGATGACACGATTTTTTTAATTCATTTTTCACCGCTATAAATAATTTTTAAAAATTAATAAATGGTTCCATTTTTAAGGTACACTTAGTGAGTTTATTTTCTACTACTTAATTTTTATTGGCACTTCTTCCGTCTTTCTATATAGTGAAAAATACAAAATTGATTCAAATTAGGCTACTCTCTCCTATTAATATGCCCAATCTATGTCTCTGTTTATTGTTATGTTAATTGCAGCGAAACATCCATATCCCAAATAAAGAAACATTTCGGGCATTTGATATTAAGAATCGCCAAATTCCTAATAAAGTTAAGACATGTCGATTAAAAGTACAATTAAACTTATCATCTGAGGCATCGGTTAGAAAAGCTTTATTAGTTAAAAAATTCATCAATTAAAAAAGTTTTATTTAGATTTTATTTTTATCACAGCTTTATTTGCAGACAAATCATGTTAAAAAATATGGCTTCATAAAAATAAAACAATATTGTTCAATATAAAATAAATGAAATTTTTATCTCAAAAATCAGTTTTTTTACGAAAAAAATTTTATTTTTTGAATTATATTTTATAGTTCGACACATCGTCTGCGACTGCAATGAAAGATGGACAGAATTTATACTGTAAAGACAGCAAACAATTTAAAAATACATAAATATTTACATTTAGCAAACAGTGGTTTTGCTAATTACACTCCATTATCAGTATGCTGAGGAGAGTTTCTTCAATGATCTTTCAGCGAGTGAAAATGTGAAATTCTTTATAGTACAGTATTAGTCTCTTTACAAAGCACAAGTTCTGGTATATTACAACGTAGTTCAGTTCGTTGATCATCGAGGCGGTCTTGTAACCGGTTCCACACAGCACTAATATCTGTGAATAAATGCAAGAATTAATATGCAGCGTAAAACATATACGAGAGAAAAAAGTTCATAAGTTCAATATTTCGCCCATGAGATACATTTCAATGACCTCGGAGATCATGCGACTTATGTATAGCTAATATAAACAAACAGTGTAAGTGATTTTAAAAATCACGTGACTTATGTATAGCTAATGTAAACAAACAAGTTTATTCTTCCTGTTTGGTTATTCTTTCTCTTGCGGAATGTATCTCACTATTAAAAAAATTGTAAGAAAGAATACCGAAAAAATGTGCTTAGGCCACGGGTTCCCAAACTTTTTCAGTTGGCGGCGCACTTACAGGTTTAGTATTTTGTCACTTCGCCCTAGTCGTGTTTAATGAAGTGTTGTACAAGGTTTGTGCTTTACAACCTACTTACTACATAGTGTCATAGCAAATCACTTCATTAAATGCAACTGTATATTGATACTAGCGACCAGGCACAGAAATATAAACAACCACAATCTGAGGCTGATATAGGTATATATTAAACTAATACACAAGAATATATTATTATTACTAAAGAAAATAAGAAAAAATCAATGGGACGGTTGAGCTTGCTGATATACACAGTTTTTCAAAGCGAGGGATAAGACTTGGCACTGCTAACTTTCATTTCTTGCTCCACGTTGATCTTTGAACGATATTTCCTCTTAGCCTTATTTGGACCACTATGATATACAAAGACTGATGATATCTGCGAGATTTGAGATAGGTATTTGGTTATACGTAGATGTAAAAGAGGTTAATGCAACTGTGTTTGTAAAGAAACGCCTCGTAGTTACATTGAGAGAAGTGTTATTCGTTTGGCTAAGAAGAAAATCTGTTATTACAGCTGCAGCTGAAAATCCGGTTTCGCATAAATATGATGTTGCAAAAGGAATGAGAATCTTTAAAGCTTTCGAACTTAGAGTTGGATATTCATTTTTTGATGATTATCCAAAACTCCAACAAATTGGAACAAGCGAGTTTTGTTTTAAGGCTGTTGTTGCAAGAAAGTTTAGTGAGACTTCTTCTTGTGAAGTAAATTCTGGTGGAGCTTGAGCATGGAAAGGATTTTGGATCCACGAATATTTCTCGATATTTTCTTCCGCAAAGTATTTTGCAAACCATTTAGTGAGTTTCGAAAGGTATTCCGTGTAAACATATAAGAATTTTTGAAAGACAACTAGCTCATTAGAGGAAGCGTATTTATGCAATTCGGGGAAACAATCTTGACCGCCATCCTCATTATTTTTTCTTATCCACAAGTGCAATTTTCTTCTAAACGCCGCAATCTTCTCCAATAATTTCAAGATGTGCTTTATTGCCTCGTAGAGATAGATTCAAAGCATTCAGTTTGTCAAATATATCGCACAAATATGCCAATTTTAGTAAAAAGTCTGGTTCCGAAAAGTATCTGGTGTTTGCATGTCCTTCCTCTTGCAGAAAGTGTGAATTTCTTGATGTAGCTCGAATGCACGGGATAAGATATTTCCACGTGACAGCCGCCGTGAACTGCAGTAATATAACAGGGCTGTGTGTTCAGCTCCTATGCCCATGCAAAGGTTTTAAATAGTTTGGCTTTCAGCGGCCTATTTTCTATGTAGTTTACTACGTCTATGATACTTTCCAATAACCAAATTCAATTCACAACTCATCGACTTTGATGCAAGTGCTTCCCCATGGATGATGCAATAGGTCCACATAGCATGAAGTGCTTTACTGCCAATAAAGGCTTGCAATCATCTATACCTGCCAGACATTGATCAAGCGTCGTCAATACACACACCGATACAGTTTTCCCAATCTAAATTATTTTCTGTTACAAACTTGTCAAGAATTTCAAATACGTTTTGAGCCTTTGCACCTTCGCCGGTATTTTGACAGAAAAGAATTTCTTCAACAATTATATTATCATCTACAAAACGTTAGTAGCAAATAAGGGTATGCATCTTTATTACTGTCAGTAACTTATCAAGTTCTAGAGCAAATCCCATTCTCTTAAACGACAGGGGGCTTTTTGATGTGTTGAGGTGAGAACTTTTTACTACTTAATCAATAATGTTAGGTGAAAGCCTCTGTCAACGGTATCTGCTTTTAAGTAATTTAGTTCTTGATGAAGAGCCCAATTTGTAGGAGCAAACTTGAACCGAATCGAAGGAAAATGAAGGAATAAAATGAAGCAAACTTCTGTTTAGTCGAATGACGTGATTTGAATTGTAGTGGATGGCAAACTGATGAAGGTAGAGTAGTACTAAAATTGCGGTCGCTGACACTTAGCCGATGAGACACTTAACCGACACCAATTAGCCGACAGGACATTTAGCCGACACGAACACTTAGTCGACATGGACACTTAGCCGACAGGACATTTAGCCGACAAGGATACTTAGCCGACAGGACATTTAACCGACAAGTACACTTAGCCGACAGGAAATCAAGCCGACAATGAGTCTTACTCTTCCAAATGCTTTCAGATTTTTAATACTTTCACATTTCATTACTATTTTGCTCAACACATCATGCCACATTCATTTCCCGTATAAAGTCGTTTCGCTCCTCCCACTAATGAAATTTCCTTTCCCTGTCTGGAAGTGGATTGATTCGCCCTACCCCTCGTCATACTGGAACTACCTTTTTTTCTGAAATGCTTACTTACATGTTAGTTATTGTACATTTATTAATCTGGGATAGAGCTCCCGCCCAGGAATTCGTGCCTCGTGGTCTGCGGCCACCTGACAGAAGTAGGTTTGGTTTCGTTTGGTTTATGTAATTAAGTCAAAGCCAGAGGGCTATCTGTTTAAGGGGAGGGATACCTTCGTGGAGGACTTTCTAAGGAAAACTGGCTCGCATACACGTTACACTTGGGGAAAACTACGAAAGCACTCATGCAACCTGTCCGTTCACGGGATTCGAAATTCGGACCGAACAAAGAGTGCTCAGCTACTTTACCGCTCGGCCACTGCTGGGCCTAACAGAAATAGTGACCGTTTTGCTTAATACGTAACCAATCTCGAAAGCATTAGGAAGAGTGAGATTGTAAAATTAATATCATTAACTAACCAAGAAAAATTATTAATGATGTGAAAGTGATCAAAGGAACCAAGTTGATTACATGATGAAACTTTACGAACATTTTTTGCAGATCCCATATTAAATTATAACTAAGTGACATTCGTACTTAGCCAAATTCTTTTTCCCCTTTCGAAAATTAATTTATATTTCCTGACGAGAAATTTCAACGCTTTTTCAATTTGGCCAATAATACACCAAACAGCACGATAATATATCAAACTGTGCTAAATTTCACAAGAATTAAAAGCGCATATGGGATTTTTAAGAATCGAAAAATGAGTTTTACTGATAGGTGAAAAAAGGACTTGAATATTGAACTTATGGAGAAGTCGAGAAATGTTGTAATTTATAGTAAGTTTAAATAATTATTGGGTACGTGTCAGCTAAACGTCACTGTGGACTTAATGTCCTGTTCACTAAATGTCTTGACAGTTAAATGTCCCGTAGCTAAATGTCCCATATGCTCTGTGTCGGCTAAATGTCCTGTCGGCTAACTGTCTGTGTCGGCTAAGTATCCTTGTCGTCTAAATGTTTTGTCGGCTAACTGTCCGTGTCGGCTAAGTATCCGTGTCGGCTAAGTATCCGTGTCGGCTAAGTATCCGTGTCGGCTAAATGTCCAGTCGGCTAAGTGTCCATGTCAGCTAAGTGTCCATGTCGGCTAAGTGTCCGTGTCGTATAAATGTTCTGTCGGCTAACTAGTGTCTCGTCGGCTAAGTGTCACGGACCCCTGAAATTGGATATATTGTGCATGAGCAAGGTGTCGACGAACGGGAACAGAATTGAATGTCTCGGGTTCAAAAGTTAGTTGAAGGATAGGATCAATAGATGCAATGGGACGAATTTTTTCTGCAGCTAAAATCATCAACAAAAAGGTGCCAATAGCTTGATTTCTTTCCTCTCATACTTATCGCTTTAACTTATTTTATCTTATCTTATTACCGGTTTCTCTTTCGTCGTTCTCACTTCTGTAGCTGAAGAAGCAGGTTCTATATTTAAATCGTCGAAACTAGTACTACAAATTTATAACTATTATGCTGATTCTTGTTGCTTTAACTCCTCCAATGATAATATATATATATAGTTGATGTGTAAAACATCTGCCAGTAACATAACATTAGTGGCGCTTCCTTCTTATGAAAAGAAGGAAAAAGAGTTTAGGCAATATTGCCCATTACTCTTCCGCCATTTGATCATTTAAGTCAAAGGTTTTAAATGGTAACTCCCGTGAAAGGTAAATAATAAATAAATAGATAAGATACCATACTGACACCAGATATATAGTATCAGCAAAAGATCCCATCTCTAAATTCAGGGTGTCGGTTAAATCGTTAAAACTTCCCAGTTGGATGAAGAGCCGATTCAATCCCTCCCAAACCACCAAACGCAAACTCTTGACCAAACAGGGGTGCGATGGTGAGTCTAAAATAAAATTTAAAAAATTAAATAACAAATTAATTAATTAATTAATTAAGGAGGGCAGAGGTACTTTCTTAAGCCAAATGGCCAGGTGGTGTATAAAGATTTGAAAAAAAAAAAAAAAAGAATAGAATGATTGACAATAAATTCCAGATTTTAATGAATCATACCTACATTTAGAAAAAGCTCTTCCCCCCCACTCTTTTTTATTTTAGAAATTATAATATTAAGGAAATTTAAAATTTGCTGACTAATATTTTCGGATATTCAGATCAGAAATACAATGAGAATTCCTAGATAAACAGAATTAGAGAAAATATAAGCAAAAACATTAAAACTTTAAATTATATTCATTCTTATTATAATGAGGTAGCTTCGAAAATGATGGTTATTTAAGTACGGATTTATTTGCCCGAGCTGCTGTTGAAAAAAGCACAGTAGTTCCATTAAATGAAAATAAGAAACATTTATGAAAACTGCAATCATTGGAATAAGAAAACTGTACAGCATAGAGACGCTGCAAATAATCACAGCAGCTCCTTGGAAAAGCAAAGAAAGCTCACCCTTTTTGCAAGTCAAAAATGATCTCCTAGTGGGAGTGCAAGAGTCATCTTCTATAGAGTTCAGATCAATTCTTTTCTCAGAATTGTAATTAGTTGAATTTGTTTTTTTGGAAGTGTGAAGTCTATTCCTATCACGACTTTTACTGCGAAATCTAGTACTGCTTGGACTTTTGGAACCAGACATGTAACTGCAAGGCAAAGGTTTTCCTAGCTTTTCAGCAGTCAAGCATTCTACAAATAAATCAGACTTCAAAAATCTCTGATAGCAGTCGAATTTCATTAGCGTAAATACCTAGAAAAGAAATAACTTCCATCAGTATTATAAAAATTAACATTGTAAGATAAGACATACATAGAAATGCATGAAAGTTACGTAATAAAACGGGTGGTTATTTTACTGTTTACAGCATTAGAAAGTATAAATTATTTCGCTCCTCAGACTTGACAATTTATTACCATAACTAAGATGAAAATGTCGTGAAATTAATTTCAATAAATATGTATGATAAAATATATCTCAAGCAATTATTTTTCAATAGAAAAAGATCAGAATATTTTTTTATAATTAGACTATAAGGTATTTTCTTCCTTCTTTCCGCATACCTTCGTAGTATTACTGGAAGCACGCTCGACGCGTATTCGGTAGATCCGGAGTTCAAATCGCGGAGACGGCACTGCGGATTTTTTCTGTTTCCTGACATTGAAAATTTCTGAAAGGCACTAAAGTGGAATCTGAAATAGAAAGGTGGGGAGAGATAGTTCTTCGCCACCATTATTTGATGATTGGGTCCACTCATTCCTAGTCGCCCTTTAAAGGGCCGTTCCCACTGGGGTGTTTTTCTGAGCTAACAGAGTCAGTTCCATGTGTCGACTAGCTCCGCTATACTTGCAGTTCAGATTTTTCCATGAGATGGGTCGGTTACGTTAGTTGTCCCCGTTAGCTCAGATAAACCCCAGTCAGAACGGCCCTTTAAAGGAGAAGAATATAAGGTGCTTTCTTCCTCCTTTTCGCATGCTTCGTGGCATAAACGGAAGCACGCTCAACACGTATTCGGGAGGTATGGAGCACCTAGAGAGGGCACTGCATATCTCTCAAGTTCCTGCATCGATATAACCTAATGACTCTACAGGGCAAGTAGGCTAAAGTGCATTCTAGAAACTATTTTCAAGTATTTAATAATGCAAAATATTTCTATTTTCAAAATCTTAGCATTTACATGTATAGAGAGGTCTAGATAGTATATACATTTAAATTTATTTATTATTCTCTTGTTTATGAATAACTCAGGAATGGAAGTGCAAAAAATATTGTAAACTGAATATATAAGAATTTAATTCAGAAGATTGAGATTAAACTATTGAAATGTAAAAGTCTTAGTGCTAGTTTATAATTGCAAAAATCAAAGAACTTTAAATGCAAAAGTACAATGTAGAAATCCAAATAAAATAGATTAAAATAAAAAGAAAATAATAAATTATAGTTAATGTTGCAGGAAAAAACTGACTTATCAAAGGCAATTAGCCTTTTTTTCGCAAAATCCTCAATAATTAGGGAATGATCAAGTTTCGTCTCATTCGTAAGCTTGCATGAATTCTTTGAAGTTTGCAAAATTCTAAGATGTAAAATGCATATATGCATATATATAACAAATGGGAGTAGAATTATTGCCTACACAGAACAATAACAAAGCATAGACTTGCAGACGGGCCAAACTCAGTAATGTTTTTTTTTGTTATAATTAAACATTTTACGGCCACAAATATCTTGCCAAGCTAATCGTGCTCCTTTCAGAACATAATATTTACATTTTTTGAGATTGTTGCAATAAGAAGAAAGCAATGCAGCAGCAGTCTAGCTAGGACGAGACGCAGAAGCAAAGTGCGATGTGTTCAGAACGAGATCTTAATTCCGAGTGGTTTAGTTTCAGCTTCAATACATTTTGGCTGGAAAATTCATAATGCCCTAAAATTATAATGTTTGAGTGTTAGTTTTATTTAAGTACCAACATTATGCAAAAGTCATATGATATGGATTAATCTAAAAATAACGCAATGCAGAAAAAGTTCCAATAAGCAATTATTATTTTTAGAATGGAGAGGGGAACTACTCAAACTAAAATGAAGAATTAAAGAGCTATTCCTAGTTTAAATTACTATTTTAATTTACATACTTTTTATTTTACACACACATTCACATATGTATATATATATATTTATAAAGATCGCGTATAGAAAACGCGCATTTAAATTTACATAGAATTTTTTATTAAGAAAAAATGCTGCGCATGTGTGAAATAATATCCAAAACACATCCCAAAGACGAGAGCAATTAAAATGTGCAAATTACAGTTAAGCTTCCTTTAGGAAAAAATGCGTTATCTGGAAATTGAACACTTGTTTTATATAAAATTTAAATATTAACAAAATGTTATGAAATAATTCTCAGAAATGTTGCGAAAAATACGTTAATGCGTCTTACTTCTTTTTCAGCTTGTGCGAAAAGATCAGATGGAGGATTTTGAAGATTACATAGTACATATTGGCGTGTATGGCTGTTTATATTAACCGCTTCTAAAGCGCCGGGTCGTAGATGATGATCGTAAATTTCTTTTGCTAACTTCGCCATCTGCAAAGAGAGGATAAATTCAAAGTATATACGTTGCTTGTAACATAGATACAGACCTCATTTCTAGAAAATAAATCTAGCACAAATTTAGAAGGAATTTCAGTAATAAAATTCACTGTTTGTGCATGATTTAAAAATTTTTAAATATTTATAGCAAACTAGCTTTATAACACGTATTGGATAATTACTACTAACATATATCAAGATATATTGCAGTTAATCTAGCATTCTTTCAATCAGTTTATCATCAGAAGCAATTTATATAGCTTCAACAAATTTCGGAGCAATTTCATGGGCAGAAAAATTTCAAAATGTATGTGATTTTACTCAATTTTTTTGTTTTCGCTATTGAGAAGTAGTAAAACAAAGCATCATAATATGAAATTTTTTTCTTCAATTACATTTTTCTTCAGTTAATATTGTGAAAATACCATCATCTCTATTACAATTATATTGTTTTTTTCTGAGAAATCTGAAGATTAAAGATTCAGGACTTATCTTTGCGCTCTGTAAAACGTTTGAAAAATATACGTCCTCAGCAAAGTTTCTGATGATAATTACACCATATAGAATATCTAATAATAAGAATTTAGAATGGAAACTGAAGGCCAGATCCTTAAAAGTATTACATGTATCAAAAATATCTTCTTAGAAGCAAGTTTTAATATACCGTTTCCTCTGGACTGCTTAACAATTTCACATCCTCGGCAGTGAAATTGCGACTTTGTAAAACAGAAGATATAATCAAAGAAAAAAGTGATGAATTTAAGGGATTCGAGCGATTGAAAACTGGAAAGCAAACACTCAAGTCATCCTGAATTATTCTCTAATTACTGAGAATGCTATGTGTTGAAATGTACGTGTTGTACACATTCATACAGTATTAAAGAAGATCTGGAGACTTAGTCCTTTACGAGGAATTCGAATATTCAAATACTAGAAAATTGACCTCACCCTATTCAGGCCCTTATCAGATTGTGAATAAATTATTTGAATAAGTTAACTCTGATATCGACAAGGAAAATTTTCCGAGTCAAAAGGAAACAATAATGCCGCAAATGAATTATTTACTTTGAAAGGAAAATTTACCATTTTAGGCTTGCCAATAAAACGCTAAGTGAAAAGGAACAAACACATCCAATCTACGCCTAAGATCAAAGATAATAAAAAAGTTTTTATTTGTAAAAAAAACTTTAAAAGAGGAGAATTCAGTATTGGACCTGATGAAAGATGGCATCTTTCATTTGAAAACTGATCCAGATGCTGAATCATATTTCAGCGCAGATTATTTTTATCATATTTTTCTTACATTTATGTGGTATTTTATCTTAAGTCAACACCATTAAATTTAAAGATAAAATGTTATGTCAACTGTTTTCGTTCAGTTTTATTTTGTTAAACGATCATAAATGCAAGCATGAAATAATTTTCAATTGAAAGCTTATTTAAAATCATTTAAACATCAAATGAGCTCTATATCTGTAAGAAGTTATGATGCAAGATCACAAAACTTACATTAAGTGGGAAGTCTGGTGCTTATGCAGTTAAGAAATTTTGATTGAACATAATCACATTATGCCGGTTCTTTGGTCAATGCATTTTGCATGATAATTAAGAAAGAAGAGAAATCTGAAGCTACAAACAGGAAATGCAACTAAGCTCATAATGATATGTTTTGGTTTAGCATTAATTTGTGTAAAATATAGTGGATAGTGAAAGTTTATGAATGTGATATTGTAGGAGCTAGTCTTCTTTGCTAACATACAATATAACTAGATCTACTTAAAAATATAAGTCGCGCTCGCTAAAACTCGAAGAGGAATACAACAGGGAAGGGTTGTCAAAAATCTTTTGTTGAGCATAATAGTTTAAAGATGGCACGGATTTACGTGTTTACATAGTCACCAATTACTTATGGTGAGGAACTTAAAAGATAACAGAACAACTAAACTCAAAATAAATAGTAGTGCAAGATTACACAGTTCGATTCAATCTATCAGGTTGACTCAGAAATCTACACCTGTGAGATAATAATTTCGGCGGCAAGAATGCGAAACCGAGATTCAAAGTTCCAACAGCTGGTAGAATTAACAGGGTGTGATCTCAACAGCGAAATAACGCTCTAACTAAACGTTTCGCTCCTGCAGTTAAAATACACTCTTGTTCACCCTAACTGATTTACATGCAGGAGAGGAAACGCAAGGGAAATAAAAAAAGACAAAGCTAACAAATTAAAATAACTATTAGCAAAATAACTGAACCCTACAATATGACTATGATATTATAAGGCATTTCTCCCGCCTTCTTAGCATGCCTTCGTGGTGTAATGGTCATCACGCTCGGCGCGTATTCGAGAGGTCCGTGGTTCGAGTACCTGCGAGGGCATTGCATATTTTTCATATCTTCTGTTTCGGAATAATCTTATGTCTCTACACTATAACTGAACTCGAACAAAAATATATTTATCTTACGTTATATTAAGTCCATGGTGATCTACAATCATGAATTTTAAAGCTAGAAAATATTATTGCAGCAATCAAAAACCTTTGGCTACATATCTAATTTTTTAGTCTAGTTTGGAAATAATGAAAAGAAAAAGTAAGCCAACTAAAGATTGTAGCACTTTATTTGGATGTAACTAATTAAATGTTTAGTTTACATGTTTCCTTCTTGCCTCGTTTCGTCACGTACTCGCTTCTTCCATGGGTTTACATAGATTTGATCGGCAAGCAGAGTAGTTTAATGTGACAGGAAGAATCGTAACCCGTAACCATAAGAATTGTAGTAGAGAGACACTTGGCTGTGTATTGACCGTCGTGCTTGTCTGGCATCGAGAAAACCGCCGATCGAGTGAAATACACTCCTTCAAAAGTTAAGGAACAGCTTGTTTATTGTGTCTAATTTGAGAATAAAGCAACGTAGAAACAAGAAATTTAGAGGACATGTTCACTAAACAGTTCTTTAATGAAGACACGGAATGTATTTAAAGTTCGACACACAAACATGAATTACAGCAAAAATTGCACTGTTGGGAGAGAAATCCAGTCTTGGAGAAACAGTGCATCACAATTTTTTGAGGGAAAAATATGGTGGTAATATTGCAAAAAGGAGTTCCAATAAGGGATGCGTCTACCCCTAGTTACAATACATTGGCGGCAGCAACGTTCCATGCTGTCAATTAAGTTGTGAGTCGGTGAATTGGGAAGCAACGACCAGACACGGAGCTCAAGCTTGTTCAAGCTCATCTAACGACTTTGAAGGACTTAAAGCAGCAACCTGTCTCCCAATGTAATCCCAAAGATGCTCTATCGGATTCAAGTCTGGGGATTGAGCTGACCATTCATTCCGCTCTATACTGTGACCCTCAAGATATTTTTCAGCAACTCAGCTCGGTGCGGTCGCGCATTGTTGTCCATCACAAGACATCTAGGACCAGTAGCAGCGGCATATGAGAGGAAATATATTAATCAAAGATCTCGTCCCGATATCTCACACCGGTCAAAATTCCTCCATGGAACCCATGCAGGTCAGTGTGACCACCGAGAGATATCCTAGCCCAAATCATTATTCCACCACCTCTGTAACTGTGTCTTTCACAATGTGGGATTGGTTATATCTGGTGCGCTGTTCCCTCCAGATCAGTTGAATACCTCAGTCACTATCCATTGTTAACCTGGATACGTCTATAAAGAGAACAGAAGCCCATTGTTGACTGGTACAAGAGACGTGTTCGCTTGCCGAACATAAAAGGGCACTTCTGTGTTCTCTGGTCGTGGGGACAAAAGCAACTGGGCGTCGTGCTTACAGACCAATATTGTGCAGACGTCTGCGCCCTGTAGTAGCTGAGATTCTTATTATTGTTGCCACTGAAGGATATGCCATGAGCTGAGGCACAATAATGTTTCTACTACTTCGGACCGAAAGAGCTACGGCCACCTGCAGGTGTTGTAACTCTTGCTGCCTGGAGTATGTCTTCTAGGCACAAAATCCTCGGATTCGAACTGATTCGATAGTCAGTGGACCACACTACGAGAGACATCATCAGCTTGTGACATTCCCCATTTCCATCCAACCGATCGCCCGCCACAGGGCACGCGACTTCTCACGGACATTAATAGACTCTCCAGGATTTTGTCAACGAAACTGCTTATAGCAATCGAAGACCAACACTCCTGAACAAAACTTACAGTTTTTACATTTTCTCTACAACTCTTATATAAATATTTATTTCTATAAAATAAATGTAGCAGCTACTGGTTTTGCATATATATTCTTAAACTTCGTTACTATCATGCTTTTAAACTATGAATTTAAATATTACTGACATTTTTGTAACGGTGAGATTTGAGAAACATGCTGTTCCTTAACTTTTGGAGGGCAGTGTATTTTGTCGGCCGTTTTAGTACAGGGTGGTAATTGAGCTTTTAATGATTTAGAGTAGGTTCTCCGACCTAAAGGTGTAGCTTTGAGTAGAAGTATGGTATTCAGTTGAATTGTAAGTTTCAATTAAACTTGCCGCACAGTCAAGGACACTTATTTTGTTTTGTAAGAATTTAATTTGGAACTCACTAGGTGCGAGGTACAATAAAACTTCAGTTTTACTTGCTTGTGTATTTTCGCTTTCACAGTTAAACTGCAGGTGATAACTCGCATCATAGCTTTGAGGTAACATTGGTGGGTGAGGTTATAAGGTCCCACCTTCTTGGCGAGCCTTCGTGGTGTAGTGGTCTGCAGGCTAAGCCGGTATTTCAGAGGTCCGTGGTTCGATTCCCGGCGAAGGCGGTTGCATATTTCTCATCTTGCCTGCTTCCAAAAAAATCCTAATGTCTCTACAGTGGCGCCCGAACTAAAAGGGTGGCGGATGATGATTTTTCCTCACCCAGGATTCGGCAATTGGGTCCCCTAAAAACCCCAGTGGCCCTTTAAAAGGGGGGTATATAAGGTATTTCTCCCACCTTCTTGGTGAGCCTTCCTGGTGTAGTGGTCTGCACGCTAAGCCGGTATTTCAGAGGTCCGTGGTTCGCTTCCCGGCGAAGGTTGCATAATTTCCATCTTGTCTGCTTCCAAAAAAATCCTAATGTCTCTACAAGGTTTTTGTTTAAATAGTTAGGTAGAAAGACTCCCCAAGTACTATAAGCTTATGACAAAAACACTGCGTTCGAGTGCTCCCTTTTAGGAAGTACCTAAGTGCCCCTTAATGAATCATGACGAACTTAGCTGTTAACAGGTTTACTGATTGAAGTTTGGGGAGGTGGGGAATCCTGATATTATGAAGCAAAAAAATAATGTTTAGCTGCAATAGTTTTTTGGTGTAAAACATTCTGATGAGAATTAGAAATCGTAGCTTCATGATTTATTGTTTTAACGAGATTTTCAACTACAATGTTATTCATTAACACATATATTGAAGCATTTTATTTCTGTAACAGGCGGCTATAAATAAAAAAGCTTTTATTTGTTTTTTATATGATTAGAGTTTGGGCTTGAACGAAATGAAAATTCCAGTGAAGAGGATGAGGAAAATTGAGCATACGAAAAAATAAATAAATACCTTAACCGCAGCAGTAAATTTACTTGACTTGCATAAGTGTTAGGAAATGAAGACTTCTCAGTAATTGTTATCTAGATACATGTCTGGAAACTAAACATTTCTTAGTAGAAAGTAATTAGCGCGTTTCAAACGTTTGCATAGCTTCTTTATCGGTCTTCTTTTTGTAGCAACATATTAATCAGAAGGGTCCTCCTTCACAATGGCGCCTCGTCATAAAGGTGCCAACACTTTTTTGTAAATTAACCCCTGATCTTCAATCTTCGCAAGAGTATAACGGCATAAAGATGTCCGTATCTTTAATCAGTTTTGAGCTTGAAAAGAGTATGCCCTACAACTGCGCGGATATTATACCTTATCCCGAGACATCACTATGCAATTAGAATTTTCAGTCACTCTCTTAATCCCAATGGAAAACTAAAACCTTACCTGTATAGAGATGCCCTGGTATAAAGTGCCATGCACTGGTAAAGATTGCCTTCTTCGGATTAAAAACTAATCTTCATAAGAGATCGGGTTTTGCCGAGGCATTCTTCTGAAGTTTTTGTCTTAGTCAACAGTCGCCGATTAGCATAAAAATGCCTGGTCCTTTATAAATTTCCTACATTCTGAAGTGGTTTCATTCGCAGTTCCTTTGAAAAGTGATTTCCCATTAGCAAGTTAAACTACTCTTTAAACATTTTCCACACTTCGTGAATAAAGCTTTCAACTGATGTTTCCACAAATCTTGAGTTTTCGAGTCTCTTTCTTGACGCCTTATCGGGGACCTTCGAGTTGATCGAAATCGGGTGAATTTGAGACCCTACCAAGGACTCGCATTCGATTAAATTCGATTAAAAACCTGTTGAAAGAGAGAGTATCTTTCTGTAGACAAAAATGAACCACTGCAACATGAAAAATATTGATATAAATTTCCCTAGTTTAGCTGTTTATTGACAGTTTCCCCATATGGAAAAAAAATTCTATAGTAGGAAAATAAGCAGCAACATGTTCGCACTAGTACAGTGCTTGGAAATCTAATTTCTGAATTTACACAATTTTGTATGAATCTTTCATGCGTCGGTGGATAGCTTTGTGTTTGATTATTTCCGCGTAGGACTTGGAAAGAAATTTATTAGACCTTTACGGTTAAGTTTCTGTTTAAGAAAAGGGATCCTGGACCCATGCTAAACGATTGCTCCATTAAAACGGTGTCAGCATACATCATCACTTATTCTTTTGCAAGATATAGATCATAAGATAACCATATGCTTTCACTTCAAATTTCTGCACCTTCCGTGAAAATATTACGTTGCTAACTCGTGAAAAGTTGACCCAAAATGGGGTTTCCCTTGGAAACAGTTAGCTAGCAATTGATGTTGCATACAGGCCTAAGAAAATCAGCTCTCTCGTAACCAGAAGCCTTCTGATATCTATAGAATGCATTAATTGTTTCATTTTTCATATCGCATCTCATACATTTTCAGTCATACTTATTAACTATACACGCAGTGTTCTATAGTTGTTATATCTTTCTTATTAGGTGAGCATTTCAATTTAAATCAATTCTTCATTTTATAATTCTGAATTCCCGTTGTTGCTCCGTAATAAAAGTTCAACGAATGTATTTCACTGAATTTGAGTATACATTTACTACGCATGTTTTCATTTTATGCATGCGAAGCAATTTTACATTTTTTTATTTCATTGCTTTTCGTTGGCAATAAGCGTGAAGTTCTAAGCGTATAGTTTCGTTTATGAATCGTAGTGTTTATAATTTGTAGTCGTGATTATTATCTACCCACATAAAGTTCTATAGATGTTATATTTTTATCACTTGTAAAGAATTTTTTCATTTGTATTCCGACATATTTCTTCATTTTATTAATCTAAGTTCCTGTTATTTCCGTATAACCGAACGTCATCAACGAATGCTCATTTATTAATCAACGAATGCACATTATATCAATATTTTTATGGACATAAAGTGAAATGCATAAAAGCGGTATAATAATCTGATGCTTTGATAGCTACGTCGAATAAATACGATCAGTTGAGCTGAACCAAAATTAGTGTTAAGACTTAATCAAACGAAGATATTTACACGAAAAAAAAAAAAAAAACTACTGTAAGCAAGCAAAATTCTTTTTTCCTTCTGTGAAAAGAGATTAAGTTTATTCGCTCTATACTCATTCTCTTAATAGGTCTTCGACGAGTGTTTTAGTCTTAGAAAACTATATAGTATATCTTTCTCTAAATTTTATTGTAGAGTGAAATAATTCCATGCATTTGAAAAACGTTACAACGTCTACATATTTCATTGGGAGACAAAGGAGTTAATGCACTTTGATTTTAATTAATTACGCTATAGTGGAAAGAAAATAGTATTTTCTTATCACTTTTACAGAAAAAAAAAGAGAAACTCTGGATAATATGATGTATTCTTAGTATGAAAAGAAGGTTTAAAGCATAACTTTAGCCCGAGAGTTTATACTGGGGAACGTGATAATTCCTTAATAAGAAAACATAGAAGTGCCCCGAATTAGTAGGGAAGGGAAAGAAAGTTTTAAACAGTGTTGGTTTTTAACACTTTTTTAACCGATTCGCTGTCTAAATAATGATAGAATCAGCTACTAAGTGAAAAATAAATATCAACATTTAAATTACGACTACTTCCGCAAAATAAAAATCTTTTGGAAATCGAATTTGACTTGTGTCGAATGGAAGGAGAGTGACAGCGTGCGAGAGCGCGCTTTTACTCTGCATCAGATAAAAGAATGTTTGGAACAACAAAAGCATGAGAAGAAGAATCGAGATGGTAGAATGGGATATTTCACTTAGCCGCCATCAGTCGACGAAGAAAGATGTAATGAATGAAAATAGACATGCAATGTGAAAAAAAGGTTGGATCAGTAAGGTAGTAAGTACTTCAAATAATTAACAAAATGTTAGGTACGAATAACCGAAGGATATTTGTGTTTTTCTCTAGGAAAAGGTGAGAATCGCAAAGAACTGATACAGCTGTTTGGATGTAATAGTACACAAAGGAAATATTTCTTGCAAGGTTTTTGATATGATTTTATATAGTATCAATTTGAAGATCTCTGTGAATATATGAACTTGGGATGAACCAGGGTGCATTAATAATCTCACGAAGGGTTTTATTTTGAATAACGTGGCTCTTTTTTATGTGGGTTTTAGCGGCATGTTCCCATACCGGACTGTTACCGAAAAGTGAGTTTTTTGTCAAGTGTGACTCCGAGATACTTCACTTGATCCGTCCACTGAATATCGTAGTCAAAGAAGATGGGATTAGGGGAAAGGAAGTTTGTTGTTCTTTTCTGAAAATAATGGCTTCGGTTTTTGTCAGTGTTAACGGCAATTCTCCACAGCATCATCCAGTTTTCAAGAAGCTCCGAATAGTTTTGTAGAAAAATTTGTACAGTATTGATTGTTGAAGCTTGAGTTAGGATAGCTAGCGGTATCGTCGGCCGCGACGTTGCGAATCGGCTGAATACCACCAATGATTTTAAAGCTTTTTCGACCATCTCCGCTAATTGGGTGATCATTTAAGGGTATTAAAATATGGCCCAAAATATAGTATAGCAAAACATTCCAGGGCTTTCTACTTTGCGAAATACAGACATAAGTAACGGAAAGGGGCTCTTCTACATTATAACGAAGTGTGTATGAAACTTTTCTTGTTGTCAGCAACAAAAGGTTATTCGAATCTGGTAAAGCACACTCTACTTAAGGGGAGGAATGCCTTTGTGGAGGACTTTCTAAAGAAAACTTACAAGTATTAACGTTACACATAAGGAGAATCACGAAAATACAACATGAAGCGAGCTCTTTCATCTGTATTTGAACCCAAGTCGCACTGCCAGTATTCAGTAGCCTTGACTATTTGGCTCCCGTCGGGAACAGAAGCATAGCTGCAACTATAAGTATTAATCAGTAGCAGCCACTCGAAGACTCGTGAGTTAAAGCAGCTATGAGAATCTTGAACTAAGTTTCATATTACTGTCTTTATCAGTTAATGTGCAAGCAACATGAAATACACCACGTATATATACAAATTCGAAATCTTTGCGTTTAAATCTGTCACGACTGGAAGACAAAATTTAAAAAATGTACTTAGAGAGTTTAAAAATCATAAAATGTGACTAAATAAAAATAATGTCATGAAATTAAATTAAATAAAGAGTTAAGATTTATTACACTGTGGTAAAACACATTAAGTCTATCTGCTTAAAGGTGGGCGGGGTTAAATTAGTGGAGAACAGTTTTAAAGAAAACTGTCTCGTATTCACGTTACACATTGGGTAAAGGACGCAAAATGCCCAAGCAGCACAGGGATTTGAACCCGAATCGAACTTCTGTTGTTTAACAGTCTTATATTCTCAGTCTTTGATTAATTCCAGCAGATAACCAGTTAAAAAAAATTAACCTGTAATTTTTAAATGGGTTTAAACTAATTTTTAAAAATATATTTTATACATTGTATTTATGCCAGCAAGCCACTTTCAGTTAAGAGGGGCTTGAGAAGAATTTGCAGAAAATAGTTTTTTAGCAGTTAATAATAACTTTTTTTTCAGTTTTTGAACCAAAAGAAAACTACCTTAAAACAACAAACACAAATGAAAAATGTTTAGTAGTTGAGTATTTCATGTGAGTTGAAAAGTATCTGTAAAAAATATCTCCCTTCAATAAAATAAAATTGTATGTATGTATTTAAGCCTTCTTTATTTATAAACTAAAAATGATAAATCCTTCCTTTTCAGACATAACCAACTATTCTTGAAATAAATGACATATCCCAAGTCCCTAGCATCGGATTCAAAGAAAGCGCACAATAAAAAATAAAATAAAATAAAAAAAAAAAAAAAAAAAACTGAAGGAACCTTTGACAGGATATGCCGAAGAAAGTCCAATATAATTCTTTGTTCTGGCTTTGACGAAAGCGATTGTGCCCTGTGGTCACAGGGCATGTTAGTCAAGTGTCATTCAACCCTTTTCTGAAGTCATGACAGATACTTAAGAGATTTTTGAAGCAGCTTGCCCACTGCCAGTAACATGTCATAATTATAGGACTCTATGTTGTCTTCTGTTGAGAAACGATTAAGTAAAATTGCTGATTACATGTTTTATTTAAACCATAAAATTTTGAATGATTATGTAATCAGGAGCGGTTGCGGACTGGATTTCAGAAATTGCAAGTACACGTGGTCTTCATTATGTACTTGTGATTCGAATCATATGCGCCATGTTAAGGTATGAACACATAACCTTCATGGTCCATATTCTTGAAAATTAATGTCCGTGATTAATTTTTGGTGCAGAAGCTATGAAAATTATAAGGAATTCCGGAAGAGTTATTCGTTAGCAAAGGAATTTAAATACATTAAAAAAAGAGGTAAATGTAGGAATGTGCTGAGTGTATGGGGAAAAAAGAAGCTATACATTAAGAACTCTGATTTTTATCAAATTTAAAGGAATGAATTATGCTCTGTGTTGTAAAACAACTACTTATATTGCTTTGATAAAATCTGCAGATCATTTGTTAAAGTTTATTTTAGAAGACGAACACGCTTCTAATAGACGATATAATGAGAGATAATACGTTCGCTCATTATCTTGCTGACAAATCGAGTCCCTCAAACCTTAAAGATAGGCACAACCATGGGTCATAACACGTCAGAAATGTAACGGTGGCTATCCACACTACCGGTTATACGAACAAAAGGTAACCGAGATGTATACCAAATGCCACTTTATACTAATACGCTAGGTGCTAGGAATCTATGACGATGAAGAATGCAACGTTAGTTTTACTCCGTGCCTCCACAGACGGATGCGTCCATCATGATGCTGTACGCAAAACCAGGATTTGTCTGAAAGGACGACGTGGTGTCACTCTTGTGTCTAGTGTCATCGTTCATTACACCACTATAGGCGCGCCTATCTCTGCTATAGCCTCAAGGGAAACTGCAACAATGGTCACAGTCTTGACAGTTTATGGTACTGAAGACGTCGTCTCCCTGTCCGTGCGAATACTAGTC